TTTATAACAATGAATTCTAGGGTGGTTCTTATTATCATTAAAATCAAAAATCTAACTATTTTGTTTGAAGAAGTTAAGGTATACAGTTCTCAGCAAAGTTATAGCAGAGCTAATTACAAGCAAATTTTTAGAAAAGAACTTTTTGGTATCTCTTAAAAAAAAAGAGGTATGTTATTTTTTAAACTCCTTTAAAATCAATTTGAATTTATTCATATTTTTTACTATAATTGAGCAAATCTTTTCATTTAGAAGAGATACAGGCAACAGCTTGGGCTATAAAAAAATTGTCTTAAAGAGCTTAAAAAGTCTCTAGCAGATCGGCAAAAGATATCGACAAGCTCTCTGCAGCAAAAATTTGCGCCTTCTAAAGATCTAAAAGTTATTTGAAGACATCTTTGCGAGAAATTCGATACAAAAAACTAGAGCAAAACAACTGTTTCTTTAGAGACACCCTAGCTCAATTCAAGAAAATAGCTCTAAATCGCTCAATTTAAGAGATACAAAAAAGTTCTGTTGTACAAAGTTGCTTGAAATTAGCTCAGCTATAACTTTTTCAAAATATGTATAGGGTTAACTACTCCATTTCCAGCCTATTTAGCACAACCCGCACTTAGTCTTTCTTAATCTAGCGAAGTTTAGCACCAAACAGAATGTTATTATTACTGATGGCTTCCAAATTTATTTACTTTTCCGTATGTACCGTAAGATTTGATAAAGAGAAACCAATCGTTGAGAGATTGTCAAAAGTCTAACATTGCTACTTGACGCCAAACTTGGCCTACGGATTCTAAACTCGGCCTAACGCATTGAAACGCCATTGAAATGCAATTGAAACGGCCTATGGCCTATCGGATGAAGATAAAAATTGATTCGGTCGGAGCGCTTCTTTTGTTTTTGGGAATAATGGGAGCAAATCTTCATATCACGCGTTCTCATTGACTTTGTTCCGTAGCTTATTAAGGGGAAGCTCACCGCTCCGAAAAAAATAAATACGTTTTGATTTTTCTAAAAATATTGGAAAAAGATATCAAAAATCTAAAAAAAAATCACATTTTGTCTAATTTTTCAAAGAAAATTCACGTGCAAAAACATTTTGTATGAGTTATTATGGCATAAAGTTGGACTCAAAAAACCACAAAACATCGATTTTTCGGTTTTGCTGAGAGTCCAATTTTTTTTCATGATGAGATAGAAAAAATATTTTTACATGTAATTTTTGAAAAAAATCTAGGAAAGAAACTGATTTTTTTGGATTTTTTATATTTTTTTCCAATATTTTTAGAAAAATAAAATTTATCGAAATATTTTTTTTTATTTTCGGGCCGGTAAGCTTCCCCTTAACTAAAGTATCGTACCAAACGCATAATTGACTTGTTAACTCTGAAATCATGGATTTATTTGAAGTTTTCTGCTCGATAGACTCAAAATGGGCGGTTAGGCCAAAGTTCTCTACCCTACCTTAATTTCCTCAAACAAAAAAGTTAGATTTTTGATTTTAATGATAATAATAACCACCCTAGAATTCATTGTCATAAAAATGAGGGCCTAACTATGAGAAACAACTTTGCAGAAGAGAATTTTAGTCTAAAGTTTCAATTTCAGAGTTAAAACATATCCTGAGCACTGCAACGATAGTTGTAAAGGAGGATGATGCCTGCAGTCTTTTACCAACGAGCATAAAGCTCAAATACTAGACTCTTTCCAGGGTAGACGTACTGCCTATAATCGCATATCAGTTCCACATGGATAAAGTAGGCATTGAGAAAATGGTAGTCAAAGTTACAAACTGCAATTTCCATGAAGATAATTTCAAACGAAACTATTCAAATCTGATCTTGTAAACAATCGCTTCAATCGACGATTTGCGGCAACTACTATCTCACTCACAGAAACTAGCAACACCAGCTAGTAGGGGAAAGATTCCCCTACCTGATGGTGGTGTTTGTTTGCGTGAGTGAGGTAGCATTTGAGACAAATCGTCGATTGAAGTGATTGTTTAAAAAAGCAGATACGTCGATTTGAATAGTTACGCTTGATTTGTTCAGGTTGAAATCATTGAAGCTTGCATATTTCGTTACATTTACATGCGAAAAATATGGCAATTCAAAAAGAAGCACTGTAGCTTGACCTCTGGACGATTGAATTTCAGCATGGGACTGATATGCGATTACTTTGCTTGATGGGACAAACTGACTTGATGTTGTTTTCACATTTGTTATGCTCAAGTCCGTAGTTGTATCACATAATATGAAAATAGATGCCAATTGCTAGTGGATAGCATTCCCAACAAACAATTCACAGTCACAAATAAGCATACACATTGAATAAATGCTGTATAACAGTGTACAATGCTGAATAAAACAGGATGTCGAATTATGTGCTGAAAAAAGTTCATTGAGATCGATAGATGCGCCTTTATTCCGCCGTTTGCTCTGATATGATTAATTTACTTATTAAAAGCTTTATAAACGTTGACTGTCTTCTTGATTCAGAACCAGAAGTTTGATCTAATAACAAACTGAATAAGTGTAATTTGCACATACATTGTCGCTTTAATTTGACTGTTTTCAATTGCTTTAATAAAATGCTTTATTAGACGTCTTATAAATGTTTTCTAGCTCCATTATTAGATTTCATTGCGTTGCTTTACAATATTGCTGTCTAAAGGTGAAAACAGTCAGCAAAATAGCTGTTATACCACTATGCGTCCATGTTTTAGTTGAATGCTTTGTAAATGCTTTATAAACGACGTATTGGATTCATTATTCCACAACACTGCCCAAAAAACAATTCAGAGTAACAAATAAGCATATAGATTGAATAAATGCTTTATAACAGTGTACAATGCTGAATAAAACAGGTTGTCAAATTATGTGCTCAGAAAACCTCATTGAGATCGATTATGCGCCTTTATTCCGCTCATTGCTCTGATTTGATTAATATACTTCTTAAAATCTTTACAAACGATGACTGTCTTCCTGATTCAACACCAGAAGTTTGATCTAATACCATACTGAATAAGTGTAATTTGCACATACATTGACGCTTTAATCCGACTGTTTCAATTGATTTAATAACATGCTTTATTAAACGTCCAATAATTGTTTTCTAGCTCCATTACTAGATTCCATTGCATTGCTTAACAATATTGCTGAATAAAGGTGAAAACAGTCAGCATAATAGCTCTTATACCACTATGCGTCCATGTTTTAATTGCATGCTTTGTAAATGCTTTACAAACGGCGTATTCATTCATTATTCCACAACACTGCTCCAGGCTAACAACAAAACGAAATTGGTAGCATAGTGGTTACCGTTTCCGCTTTCCAAATAGAAGGTCGCGAGTTCAATCCCAGCCTCAACCCTTTTTTTATTTATTTTCTACGCCTAATTAATTTAAATCGTAATCATAAATCGTATCACTCAGGACAACCAATTCATAGATCTATCTAAAATAATAGCATCCTTTGCATCGAAATTAGAGAGATGGAGAGATAACGTTGGTCTAATGTTAAACAACTATGAATGAATTAATCATTCTCACATCTCCTTGAATTAGCTAGAGTTACGGCTGGAAGTGCTGATAGGTTTTCAGATGCAAGCTTTTATTGCTTATTTAGCTGCCCATATGATGTAATCTAGGATAGCTCAGATTGCAAGGCAAGCGGCTGGTGATCGGAAGGTCATGGTTCGAATCCCATATAACGAAATGTGTGTGTATGTATGTATGTATGTAATAGATTTTCTAGATCTTGTATGGTGGGTGCGCGTGCTTCGACCGAAATAAATGACACAACAATCACTGACGAGAACACAACCCTGCTCTTCTGTGTCGTTCTTATTTTCGGATTAATTATTCCGTAGTTGAATAATCGTTTAATATTAAATGTATAATAGTGTCTTATTAAACATTATTTCACATGAGAATCAAGCGTCTATATACACCTTTATACCATCGCTGTTTAAGGAAGTAAATGATGTCTAATAAACGCTGAATAATCAAAAATTTGATCGAATAAGCTCTGTTACTACTCTTTTTAGTCGAATAAAAGCTTCTCGACATACCTTATTCAACACCAAATATTTCGATGTTGTGATTGAATAAATTCTCCAGATTTGTGTGAACAAAGCCTGAACAGAAGTTATTATTAAAAATAGTACAATTATTATTAAGCATGAAGTGGAATAAAATCGTCAAGAAGTCGTTTCTTCAATAGGCAATTGTTTGTTGGGTGTAATATTGAAACTTATGAAAATCCATATGGGACTGATTTGCAATTATAAGCAGTGCACATGTCGTGGCTATACGTTCCTATTATGATGTGTTTCAATTATGGATTATGGGAATTCCATACGCCATAATTGGAACACATCATAATAGGAACGTATAGCCATGATCGGTACATCTACCGCAGCAAGTCTGATCATTTCCCTTTAGGGCTATGAAATCTCCAACGAATCATGATTTATGGTCTGTTGAACTTTATATTTTCCTGTGAGCTTGAAAATCTTGTTTTAACTATTATTTTATTTTGTTCGTGGATGACAGAACTTGAAGCAAAAGCGGTAAAAGAGAACGAAGAAAATATGGAAATTTACAAGTTTAACAGACAGGAGAAGAAAAACTCTGAGAAATAGATAATGAAAGTACTGAATAGTGCTCGGAAATTAAAATATAATAGTAATTGTAGAGAAAGAACAGTAAACGGGGTAATAGAAAGAGAAGCGAGTAAACAAACAGGTGCATCAAGGGAACAGTAAAGATAAATTTTAACAAAACTTAGATTGATCGTTATCAGTTGTCGACTGACAAGCAGGACAGCTCTCTGCTCTGCAGGCTGTTGTAACTGGTTACGTACAACTGTATGCACACAACAAGCTACAACAAAATTCCAGAGCAGTCGATGTGACAGAAACAATAAGCATTCATCGCAAAATCGAAAGTGCCAAAATTGTAAGAGAGAACATTGCTCAAAACGGGCTTTTGCCCTTTTTCTTACTTCAGAATCGAATTTGAATGGTCCAGTTTCATTGGCCTGCATGGAAAATGGTGAAATGGAAGTTTCAAATTAGCGCACAACCTGCTGATGGGATGGATTCAAATGACTACAACAAAATTTTGCGAAAACAATTCGATTCCGTGAATTGACGGCGGCTACCAGAGTCAATTCAGGCATCCGATAAACAACAGAATGGAAACAGAAACGGAAAAGTTCATGTTTTTCTCTACCGTGTGTGTATTGTTCGTGTGTGTGATGGTGGCGTTCTCTGGAATTGTCTATTCATCAATAAAGCAGGATTAGAGAAGTGTGTGGATGTGGTTGGAAGCGTTTGGAAAACCAGATACTCACCCTTGCTTTTTCCAACTGGCCTAAAGCCTGACGTTCCTTTTCTCGCCGAAGCGATTCTTTTTCCTCGTCTAGCGACAGATCGGACGATGGTTGAGAATAATTGGAATCCGCTGAACCCTGTTGTGGGAAAATAGAGGAAAATTCAGAATTAGATTTGTATGCTTTCACACGAGCAAATATTAGGCTGTCTTCTCTAAGAAACAAACGATCTTCAATCGAAAACGTCCCTCTATCAGGGCTGGAACGGAACACCTTATCGCTAGGTCTATCACCGTATTTCATTCTCTATAGGTAGGTAATTGTTCTGCATAATTGCAGCCGAAACTGCATTGCTATGACACGGCACTCTTGTCGGCACGAAAGTACGGTAAAACTGCTCTAGAACTCAGTCCCAACTGGACCGAAAGCAATAACTCAAAACAACGATTCTTCATTAAACAAAAGAAAACGACATTCAACCATATCAAATTTGCTAATCTAGGCTACACGCCATCTGCAGAGCAGGGTGGATTCGCGAGTCCCCATCCCCATTGGGAAACTCCACCTTCCACCCGTCCATGGAGGTAGACACAGACTGAGAGAGAGAGGCTGCTATGTGCGACACACTCGTCTAGGCAAAGCTGGAAATTTTATTGATGATTTTTCTGGTTGGTTAAATTGGAATTCGTTAGAATTCCTCAACTTATTTGGGTCGTGGAGACGCATGGTTCGGATTCAAATTATGCTGTGGAATCCAAGTTCAGTCTTCCGCTAGGTTTATCCCACTGTTACACGATGTCACCATACTGACTGAACTAGGCGCATTGCTGGGATGGCGGTAGTTGGGGGGAAAATGAATGAGCAGCAAGGACGAATACACACGCTCCATTTAGCGTAATAAATAAACAAATCTGCAACCACACCGGGAAACTGGCACGAACGCAGGTTTTTTTTCGCTGGTTGCTCGATGACATGCAGTGAGCAGAGGAAAATAATGCTAGTGTTCTGAAAAAAATACGGGACCAGGGGAATATCAAATTATCAAGAAGCGTTAAAATGGAGCAGTACTCGCGTGAATGAATTGTGTGATTCGTGTGTTCGTCACCTTTAGGTACTAAAGAGTGAGCCTGTAATGTGGGCTGCAGCCGCAGTGCAGATGGAAAACCAATTGCTACAGTAGGCAAAACTGGACACACTTGATCCCCGGGGACACCCCCTGTTTTCTCGAAATGCAGAGTAAATTTAATAATCAGGTGAGTTTCCTCATAGTTTTGTCTAGACGGGAGGTAAAGTTATGGTGACATTTGCGTCAAATTGTGGAACGTATTTATTTTTGAGAGCAGTTTGTATGTTTTCACTCCCTTAGACATTTTTTAGCCAGCATTAATTCTTAATAACTTTTTAACTAAATGCTAAAATGAATGAGGTAAAAAAGGTATTTTGAATGGCAAAAAATGCAGTTTACCCCAGGAACCCTTACATTGTCGAAGAAGGTATATGTTTGATCAAGAAAGATTTATTATTATTATTATTTAGCTTTATTTAGGAGGCTTTCAGCCTTAGGCTGGTTCGCCTCCACCCATCAAGAAAGATTTCCGATTAAAGTAAATTGTATATGAAAGTAAGATGTTTTGATTAAGGCAGATTGTTACTTAATGCAAATAGTTCTAACCACCATGACATCACGGAAAATTTCACTTAAAATAGAGAAAGTGGGGTTACTAACTGAGCGTGTCAAATGTTCCTCTAAAATCTGCTCGAACATAACGAAAATCAAGAAAAAATTTAACCAAATTTAACACGGCCGATAAAAAATAACTGGGTCGAGTTCAACTCACAATTGCATTACATTGCCTCGCGCCATTCGGATACGTAGGGATACTCGTTAAACAAATTCAAAGTGAGCGCCGTTTAAATGAAATTTTAGCTATTACGGTCAAGAAATTTTTTCTAGAACATACGAGCCATTTCCCATATTTGATTTTTTTACAGTTGCCATTCTTGCATTTATCGCAAGAATCCGACTCTAATTGATAGGTTCCGCCATTTATACCCTTCGGAGTGTTGGAACACCCTTCAAAGGCGTGCCTCTTTGTCAGTCAAAATTAAATTCCTTAGCAACAAAATTAAGGAATGACACCGATAATGACCATGCATCAGAACCCTAGTATTAACCACTTCAAACTAGAAACGAACGAATAGAAGATTAGGAATCACATAGATGAAGACTAACTAGCTCATTTCCTTGTTTCAAGATTATCCTCGGTGGACAAAGCCGAGTCTTGGCACTATCAACAAGGTAAATGTGATTACTGAAAAATCCTGTTTCCCTTGTTTGAAGTAGTCAGGACTAGGAATCGGTGGTAGATCTTACATCCTGTAACGTACCACGAAAAGGTGATCTACCTACGTGTACTAGTGTACTCATAGAATTAAAAGACGCAATCTTTTTATCAAGCAGATTTTTGAGGAAAATTTTACTTACTTTCTACTATTTTAAGATAAATCCTACTCAATATTGAGTTAGTTTCATCGGCCGTGTACGGCGTCTAATGATGTGACAACCGTCTGAAGCAAAACGTAGAGGTAAGCTTTTTTATAACCTCGAAACCGCTCGACTCTCTCTGTTCTCTCGATAGTCATAGTAAGCGAGTCCGAATTTGTTAAGAGCTAAATTCGAAAAAAGCAGACTGTAAGACCTAGAGAGTGTCTAGTATAAGAGAGTAGCGGATTGGCTGGTTTTGAGCAAAACGAACTGTCAAAGCCAGAGCCAATAGAGCAGCGCCTATCTTGATTGCATTGGCAGTGTTGCTAGAAATCACCTAGCCATAGGTTGCCAAGGTAGTTTTTTTAAAAATCCGCTCCTCTCTTATACTAGACCCTCTCTAGTAAGACCCTTCTTTACATATGCAACGATAACATCAAAACTTTTCTATGGTATGGAAATTATCAGGAAAGAGAACCTACCAGATCTACAACCAAATTCTAAGAATCGCTTCAGATGCCCTTTGTACGAGCAAGACAGGACTACTGGCTGTGGAATCGTGATGTTTACCTTTCCAGTACAGGGTCACCATCTCACTAATCAGGAAATCATGTTCCGTGCTGGAAAAACTACCCAACGAGTACAACAGTTTATGGAAAAAAAAGCCAACACTGCCTTCCAACACCTTATGGGTAAATCGCTTCCGCCATTGAAAAAACTCGTAACTGTTCAGCATAGACCTTGGCACAAACGGAAACCATCAATCGATTGGACAATCAAAGCGAAATTCAAAGCAGGACAGACGCCTCAGCTAGCAAGGAAGCTATCCGTGAGTTAGTAGATCACAAATACCAAGAGCACAACCCGTGGTTTACAGACGGATCTTTGGCTGATGGTAAAGTTGGCTTCGGTGTAATTGGTCCTACAATTAGAATTGAAGCTGGTCTTCGTGACCAAAGATCAGTTTTCACAGCCGAAGCTGCAGCTTTGTTATGGGCAATTCGTGAAGCAAATTGCAAGTCAGTTATATTTAGCGACTCTGCTTGTTGCCTACAAGCACTATAGAAGCAGGAAAGTCCAAGAACCCGTACGTTCAAGCTATCTAGAAGGAGGCAGAAGGAAAGGATATCTGCTTCTGCTGGATTCCCGGTCACTCGAAAATAACCGGAAATGAAGAGGCTGACAGAGCGGCAAATAAAGGTCGACAGCGAGAGAAAACTACAAACAATGTTCCAGTACGCGATATTATCGAATGGAGTAAAAGTGAAATATGGAAAACTCATCAGTCAACATGGGATGGATCAGCAAGGCATATCACTAGGATTGTTAAACCATCAGTTTTTGGATGGATTGACCAGAAGGACCAGAAGAGACCAAATAGTTCTTACGAGGTTTCGAATTGGACACACCTGGCTAACAAAACACCATTTGTTCGAAAGGAAACCGCAAGACGTTTGCAATACCTGTAAAAGGAACCAAACTGTTCATCAAATCGTAATCGGTTGTCAACAGTTCAACTCACAGCGTCACGAAGTGGGTTTTCCGCCGACGTAGAATTTGTATTAAGAAACAGTAAGGATGCCGAAGTGAAAGTGATAAGTTTTTTGAAAAAAAAAACAAAAATAGAAAATATAAGAAAAATTAAAATGTATATATTTTGTGAATATTAATTATTAAATTTTCAGAGACGAATGCCCTTGAAGGGAAAAGCCTCTTAAAAAAAACTCTTTTATAACCTCGAAACCGGTCGACTCTCTCTGTTCTCTCGATAGTCATAGTAAGCGAGCACGTGATTGGTATATTACGGCATAAAAGTTTGTTCAATTTTCATTGGTTTACTAATATGTAATAAATTGCTATATTGTTTATACCAAACGAATTTTACATCAAATCTGAATCAAGTGGTATGAAAAGAATTTAAATCCATCAAAAAATGACCAAGATATAAGCGTGGAAAACCTAACACTATTTTGTTACACAATTATTTTATTTGCATCCCAGTTTAGTCCACAAAGTCGTAGTCCTACTGTTCCCGTAAGTTGGAACAAACACCGTTCTTTTCAGTTGCTGACTTAGTTCTGGCGTGGCTTCGATCCGCCGCCGATACCATCAGTTCGTATCTTTTCGGGTTGGTGAAATTCTTTCGCTCACGAGTGTGGATGAATGGCATTACGCACCCTCAAAGCTCTACGTGGCTGACGATGCCACCAAGTGGAATTCTGGACCATCGTTCGATCCAGATAACCGTTGGTTTCAAGGCCCACCATTCCTACGAGATACAGATTTGAGATACAAAAGAGCAGTGGCCAAGAGAATCAGCAGTAGTCGTGGACGAAAGGGATGCGGCAAGTGAAGAACTTCGTATGGTAGCCGTACATCAAACGGCTGACCAGGTAGTTGTCGTTGAACGCTTTTCGAGATGGAGTCGTCTATTCCGAACGATGGCCAACGTTCACCGTGCGGTAAGGATCTGGAAGCAAACTATGTACGGAGAAAGTCGACGGCAAGGCCTCGATCGAGATGGTTTAGTGAAAGCAAAGGAGACACTTTGGCGCCAGGCTCAAGCGCAGGCGTATTCAGAGGAGGTTCACGAGCTAACAAATGGTCACAGCGTTGAAAAACGAAGTTCACTGCACTCGCTGGTTCCATTTTT